TGAATGTAACTATTTACAAATGAAATTACAATTCAATTTCAAGAATCTGTAAATAAGGCTGTCTGTCCTCATAAGCAAAGTAGTACACATTGTATAAAGATACATAAAGTGAAAACTGGATACAAAATCCACAATCAATTACAAATTAAATTACAATTTCAAGAATCTGCAAATAAGGTGGTCTGTCCTCATGAGCAATGTAAACAACATTGTATCATTTAGATACCGAAAGTACAATATATTGAACACTGTGCTGCTGTCATTTCCCCCTAATGATAACCTGAGATGGTGAATTATAACTCACAATGAAAATTGTTCAGGAAAGTGGGTATAGAGTAGACATGTAGAACTAGATAAGCTTATGATAAGCCAGCCTTGTCTACTTATTAAGGAAAAGTGGGAGGTTCTTTTTAATGAACAGTAGCTTCTCTGCTTTATCAGCCATAAGTCTGCTCCTCTTCTCATCAAGCACATGAGAGGCAGCGCTGAACAGTCTCTCGCTGTCAGTGCTTGTGATTTGATCTTACTCCGCATATTTGTCCGGGTGTTTTGATTTCAAGTGTTGGAGTAATCCCGAAGTGGTGAAAGTCTTTGCAGTTACACCCCCTTCGAGAAATGTCAGCTGAACACGTTTTACAAATCGCAATCCGCGCCTCTTTCTCTGATATTTTTAAATATCTCCAAGCGCCAGACATGTTGGCTGTGAGTCAGCCGCGAGCATGGTCGCGTGCCGTGCTTGTCGCCGCGTTTTGATTACGTCATCACAACAACACTTTAGTTTACCAACGTAACCCTGTTCTCTGACATTCGGTGATATTTTTTCGGTGCTAAAACCCTTTCGGCCGAAAGCCGAAAGAGCCTTTTTAACCAATTATCGGCCGAATATTCGGTGCATCCCTAGTAAAAACAATGTGTCCACCTCGGTCAGCTTGGTGTATCAGGTGGACAGTGCCAGTGTATCGTAGCATTTTTTGCTTAAATGCTTCCAGGTTGTCTGTCTGTCTCATTCTCCTGAACACAATTTCTCAAGAACAAGATATTTTCTTCAAATTTGGCACATACATCCATTTGAACTCAGGGAAGAACTGAATACAATGCCAGTTGAAAGTCACTCTGACCCAGCCGAACACGTTTTTGGCCATAAATCAACAATTCATATTCTATTTATGCCACTCACAAAACTGTCAAATAGGATAAATAAAAGTGATGACATTTTGGCATGTTTCATGATGTTGGTACAAGTAGGAAGTAGAATAATTGAATGTTTATGATGAAGTTGAAGGAAGTGTCAATGATGTTGATGACAGCGATGATTTGTCTTACATTGCCTGTTGTCATCACCTTGTATCGTAGACTGCCTTACATACTGATGTTATGTTAGTTTAACTCCTCTCTGCCAAACATGTTTCCCATTTGGATGCATACAGTTGAAACTTGAACTTAAAACACCCCTCTCATTATTCTTTCACTCTCATTCTTCTTCTGATCAACCCTCCCCTCTTCTACTTGTCCCATACTGCCCCCCCTCCCCCCTCCCTTTCCAATGAGGACTCTTATTCAACCCAATCAGGGACCCTATTTAGGGAAATCAAGTTAAATGAACTCTGATGTGAACAGAATCCAAATAGGGGCTCTTATATAAGAATGAGATTGCTTCATAGATGAATGGCTCTTGGACTGGACATGGATTCCCAAGGCCTGTATTTATTTTCATTACCATCGGAATAGCTTCGCCTGTGAGCTCTGTGGCGAATGGGGACTAAAAGTAAATGAGAAAGAAATTCATCCCAACTCCTTTAATCTTTAAGAGTCACTCCCCAATCCCACGTTTAAAAATGCATCTAAGTGATTGATTTTTTTCATAAACAGTACTCAATGAATCAATAGTTTCCCATGTGGATTAAGGCTTGAAAACCTGTGGGTACATGTGAGTTGGTTCATTTTTACTGGTTCAAATTCCTCCTCATTTGGTTTGTGAACTGGTAGCTTACATTGCGTCTGTGTCTTCTGGTTTTGACTCTGGATGCAGTGCAGAGTCATTGTCTTGTCTCTGAGAAATTAAACTTGTACATATTAGGAGTGCTGCATGGTTTGTATAAGGGTTATGTCTTTGTACAAGGGTCTCTGTCAGCACATATGACACACCAAAGTTTAGGCAGGAAGTTTCAAATGTGCAAACAGCTCAGCGCAAAGAAAAATAATGTTTGTTTTCAAGATGAGATAAAACGTTAATGATCCTGCGGGGAAATTGGAAGCAGTGGTAACAAACCACAGTGTGATTCATCTAAGGGAGACAGGAATAGCAATAAAGTATTCAAAATGAAAATATGAGCCATTGCATGACAGTGTGTCAAAATGCCCATCAAACACAACTGTGTTGGTTTGGTTTCAAAATAGGGGGGATCGGGGATGGGCTGGCATTGAACTATAGAGTTCTTCATCCAAACAGGAAGAAAACTGTGAGAATGAATACATACTTGAATACCAAATAAACCAAATAAAATAAGATTAAACTAGTATCATTTCTCTCTAGCAATTGTGAAACTGAGGTTCTGGAACCCATCGCCAAAGCTGGCAGTACAGTAAAGGAAAAAGGCAGAGTCACTACATGTCAAAGGTGGAGTCCACATCTCAATAGAAAGATTGTTGCTATGTCAACTGTACAACAAAACAAATACACCGTCAGGGTTGCCATATTTCCTGGTGCTTCCACTACTTTATACTTGTTCAAGATGAACCAGCCTGGCGATAAAACCTGAGGTCGCCTCGATCTCATGACGTTAACCCTGGATGGAGTTTTTTGTGCACACACAGAACGAACAGCCAGCGGACCATCATTTTTCCTGAATTTGACATGAAACACTGACTCCATATTTAAGTTACTGGTTGTCACGTTCCTATAATGAAAAAGGCCTGGATGGCCTAATTCAGGGAACAAAGTCCAATCAAAACGTTCCACTGCTGTTAAAGGACATATTTTTGAAGTGAAAAGTAATAATTGAGGTTAAGTGTATCAACATTTTTATCAACAAAAGCCTTTTTTATTTGGATTTTGGCAGCTGGGTAATGTTTAAAGAGTGTCAATTCTAGTGTGTGTGTGTGTGTGTGTGTGGTGGGGGAGGGGTTCACATTCTTGTTAAAACATACTTAAACAAAGAAACATGGATGATGTGAAAATATTACAAAACTCAGATAAGATTTTGAAATTAAAGGCATATGTGCAATGTTAAGAATCAAGTGAACTTTGGGATTGTGAAGAAAACAAATGAAGGTCCCTCACCATATGTCCTACACAGTTCTCTTTATGCACGGTTGTCAGTTTTAGAAACTGATATCACTTCCCCTGGCTCGCTCCGTTTACTGTGTCGGGCTGAACGTTGACATTGGCTGTGCGATGAGTGGCTGGAATAGACTGGAAAAAGAGATTACCGTCTTCTAAACTCAGACTAAACTCTGCTTGCCGAGAAAAGATTACAGAAAAGAAAAACATGACAGCGAGGATGAGGATGATGAGAAAGGGCCTGGGTGGGTTTGATCAGTCTCCTGTGTATGATCCTTAGGTAGACAAGGCTTCATACACGTCTCAGCTGACACCCCATTTCAGCCTCTGTTTAAGTCATTTAGTAATCCCACTCTCTACATAAGAATGAGGCTTCGTTCCACAAACAAAGATGGCCGAGTTACCCTCGTCCACCTCAGCGTTGAATACCAGACACAGGTGTTGCTCTCTGATCCCAGCCGGCTGCTACCACCGTTATATTGTTATATAAATATCGAGATATATTGATGTGCTTTTTGATCTAAAATGCAGGAATAGCTTAACGGGAGCATTAGGAGGTATGTCTTTATCTGTTGCGTAAGCATGGAAACGCCATAGATAGGGCAAACAAAATCCATAATTTCCTCCTCTCACTGTGCCCAGGCTGCTTCCTGTAGCTGAGCACAGCACGGACATCTGCTGCCCATCCCACTGCCCCGACCTTTGCCCTAATGTAGCGGATAAGGAAGTGTCAGTGGGAACCGGCAGGGTCAGGTGGGGTCGCAGTCCTGGTTCCTGACTGCTCTGCAGGGCCCGCTATCCCTCCCTGTATCGAGCCCTACACATGTGTTTCCTGTTGTTTTCCAGACTAGCAGCGCTGCGTCGGCCCTCCGAACCAGAGCAGGGGCCTTTTCCTGAAGCTTTGTTTGGCCTGGCCTCTGGGAATTGCTTAAATTTAGGTGCATGTGACAGAATATCCCTCAACCCCCACAATCACCATGTCACAGTCAATACAGTTGAGTATCATAAGACTGGCCTGCCCTTTATTTTCTTCAATCTTTTTACAACCCTCGCCTCGTGCTATCCTGAAAGCATGACCTAAGTTATCTGCAAACTGTAAGGAAGAGGGAGTGAGATGCAGGAGCTTGTGTTTGGTGTTTTAAGGGTTAGGGTTATGTATTGACATGCTCAATATTGGCCTTTTATTAAATACCAAACTTTGACACACACCGTGGCAATGATCCTGTTTCAATATACGTTAGGTCATATGTAAAGCTGAGTAGAACTTCTGCATCTGCATTCAAAAAAGTTCCCTCAACATATAATATAATGGTATATTGCCATGGATTTTAGATTATCTTCAAGAATAAACAAAGAAAATGTCCGATACATGATTACTCCATTTTGTACTGCAAGATATCCTTCACCAACCAGCATTACTCTTATGAATTTTGAAGCGTAGTTGAAATTACCGGAAATAAAAAGCTAGCATTTGGCTAGTCTTAATTGTACCAGTACTTGGTGGATGAGTTTCCCTGTCGTTAATAAACCTCTGTAGACTAATTTAGCCACTTGTTAGCAACCGCCTTTTTAAGGACACACAAGTGGGGTATTTACTGAGATATTTGATGTTGTACGAAAAAGCTTTTAATCTTGAGCTTCTTATAACCACAGACCCTATTTAAGGCATGTAGCCCAAAACACATTCAATAAGTATGTCGGCTTTCAAATGAAGTGCAAAAATGCTGACTTATGTTTTCGGGATTTTACGTCTCCTTCCCGCACTTCTATATAGGTAAGGCCTTTAATTGTTTCTGGTTTACGGCACAATAAAATCCTTAGAGTGTGACTGAGGATTGCAGCACGTCCCACTTCAAGAGACAAGAGCCAGTGTAACAAGACAACAGCTCTGGAACATTCAGCACTGGAAATTGCACTTCTACTTTTACCTAATTATCTCCAGCGGAGTGCGAGGGCAGGCTGCTTGAACCGCCTTTTGATTTTTCCGTAAAGGGGGGAGTACATAAAGACTTTATTAGAAGCAGCCTGTGCTGTTTCAGATCAGGACTCATCTGTTCTGCCTTGCATGCTCTGCTCCTCTGTTGGGACTCAGCCTGGGGGAGAGATGTTGCGTTCGTGGCCTTTTTAATTGAAAAAGACCCTGTAACACCCCCCATCCACGAAAGAACACGACTCTTTCGCATTTCTGGGGTCTCGGGAGGCCCCTCGGTGTTGCCCCTCGAATGTTTTCCATCAAGGAACCGGCACGCTAATTTACAGTGTTGTNGGACTCCTCACAGCAGTGAACTTCAGCACAGGTACAAATACTATTTTTTTATACTTCATTTATTTAAACCAATATCTTTCTTGATTCTTTGTACAGTATGAAAAAAATAGTATTTGTACCTGTGCTGAAGTTCACTGCTGTGAGGAGTCCAGTTCTGTCTCTCACTCTCTGGTCCAGCCTGTCTGCATCACCTGGACACCTTAAACAAACAGATATATATGTAAAGTACCGTGTGTACAAACAATATAACTGATTCTCTTCTGTTGAACATGTTGGATTGTGTATTGTCCGAGTCAGGGTCCTTTTTATTTTACTATAACTTTGGAAGTTGTGTTACTAATGCTTGCTGTTTATTTGATACCCATTTGGTAATGCAATTAATAAAAACAAAAAGGTTTGGGTTCGTTCTTCAGATGACTCTGCAGTGTTTCCCATAGGTTTACTGCCATGGCAGGGTGCTGCTCGGGTACCTCGAAAAAAAAATTCGGGGCACCCAACATTTTTTTATCCTCTGGAGCAGAGAGAGGAGCTGTGAATTATTGTTATTGATATCGTACAGTAACAAAATATTTGTACATTCAAAAGTAATAAAGTACAGTGTTACACTGTACTTTATTACTTTAATTCAAATTGTATTCCCTTCTTATCATGTAGCCTACACTTCTTCCTTTCATTGATACATTTAAATCACCTGACAGCATATAACATACCTGCTGCAACCCTGTGCTGCTGCTGCTTCTCTCGGCCTCGTCCTCTATTGCTGGAGGCAGCTCCACCTCATCTGATCTCTGATATGAAAGCAATCGTGTTATGATCATATTGAGCTATTGGTGTGAGTCTAACATTAAAAAAGCAGTCTGCTTGTCATACATTGCTGACGATACATTTTAAGTAGCAATTTGTTGAGTCACTAATGCTAAATGCCGGTAGCATCAAGCTAGCAAATCCTGCATTAGCCTCACATCAATAGGTGTTGACAGAACATCCAATTATCCTGAGCTAATTTACTGAATAAACCAACTCCTGTCTTTTTTTTCACCCAACTCATTAGACCCATCTTCTGCTGGCATTTGATTGTTGTTTTCTGTCAAATTCAATACTGTAGTTCAAAACCGCGGTAGCTGCTCACCATCTGTGAGCTATTTTTAGAATGTGCACGCTACGTTCGTTGTCGCGTTCGCGCGCGTCCACCTGAGCAGGCTGTTTGTGTCCTTCTCCCGTGACGATAACGGCTTGCGGTTAAAAAATAATAATAAGCGAATTTGAAACTGGGGGGGACACAAACGGGCAGACAGCAGAGCTGTTGGTCTCCTCCTTTCCTCCGCTCTTGTCTCTGATTGTGAGTGTGTGCATTCGCGCGTGTGTGTGTGTGTGTGGG